GATAAGTGAAAATCAGGTGAATAGAACACACCCTAATTGTCACGATGGCGCTAAGGTTGTGTATATAATAACACCTAAGAGATCGGTCATATATTATAACAGGTCTTTTTATCAGAGTTTTTTTTTTTCCTTTTTTTTTTTTTTTTTTTTTTTTCTTTTGGTAGACTTGGAGTACAGCTAGGGGTGTTGATTGAGTTAAGGAACTCGAACTCGACTCTCAAGACGTTAACGTGCACGAGTTGAGCAAGCTCTGACTCAAATTAAGATAGGCTCGTGAACAACTCGATAATATATTTTATTAATTAAATAATATATAATTTAAAAAACAATATTACCATGATTAAAAAAAATTGACACTTAATAATAGTTAATTTATATTATAAAAAAAAGGAAAAATATACTTTAATAATTTCAACTTTGCCCAATTTACTTTATCTAATCCTAATGTTCGATTATTCAGCAATAATCCCAACTTTCACCTACGTTTTCTTTCTTCAATCTCAAACCGGTCAACAAAAGTCAACAACCTAATATTCTAAGTTACTTGACACTTATCAAGGTGTGATTGGTCCAAAAAATAAAATAAAAAATTTAAAAAATCAAATTTAGAAAAGAAAAGGAAAAACAAAATCATTTTGCCACATGTCACATGTTTTACTGGTTCAAAAAAATTAAATAAAAAAATTTAAAAAAAGGAAATAGCCCCCACTTCCGGGCGCCGGTAGTTTCCCCCTTACCAACCCCACCCAAAAAACCACCCCCTCCCCTGCCCCACTACCAAAAACAACCTCCCTCCCTCACTCTACCCCCGAAACCGCCCCCTTCCCTTCCCCTCACCCCCGAAACAACCCATAATCAAACCTCTGTCTCCGAATCCACCACCCCCAAACCAGCGTTATCCAAAACCCCTCACTTTCTCTTTCCTCCATGTGCCGAAAATTGCAAATAAAGTGGGTGAGGGAAAGGTATCCGGTGTGGGGGAAGGGAGGTCAAAAATATTGGGTTGGGATCGAAGTGGGTGGTTCTGGGGCGGGGATGCTCGGTTGGAGAATGGGGTGGCCACTAGCGTGGTGGCTGGTGGTTTTTTTTTTTTTTTTTTTTTTTACGGTAAATAATGGAAGAGATATAAAGGTTAGATTATTAAAAAAAAATCTAAAGGTGAGATTATTTTGGGTGGATGAGGCAAAGATTGGTTTATTCCGGATAAAGAAAGAAAATGCAAGTGAAAGTTGGGATTATATTAGAGGTGATCAATGGGCGGGTCGGGCCGGGTTCGGGCGAGGCCAAAGCTAAAAAATTATGCCCACTTCTCGGGCCGGAATTTTTGTGCCCAAACCCGCCCAAAATGATCGGGTCGTGTGGGCTTTTCGAGCCATTTTCGGGCCGGACCTAAAAAATCTACTAAATATGCATAAAAACGCATTCCCAAACCCGTCCAAAGAAAAATTAATTCGGGCCAGAAAAAATTCTTCCCAAAATCGGGCCAGGCTGGGCCGAGGCATACTTGATCTGGTCTAGATTATATAAAGTAAATAGGGCAAAGTTTGGATTATTAAAATGATGTTTTTCAAAAAATATAGGTAAATTTCTAACAATCTAATATTTATAAATAAAGCAGGCACTTTTCGAGAGCATTCGGCGCGCCACATAAGCAAAGGTATTATTTCGACCAATTAAAAATTAGATTTGTATTTTATTTTAGAATTAATAAATTCACTCGCCACCTAAGAAAAAGTGACGATTGAGATTTAAGAATTTTTCCACGTAGTTAAAACAACGAATTAGTGATTTATTAGGATTTAATTTATTTAAAAAACTAAAAATTATTTTTAAAAAATCATCTTTAGGATTTATATATCAAAGATAAATCTTGGTAGTGTTTACCATAAGAAATAAATTTTATTCCTTAATAATAAATAAATTAAAATTTGTGATGCATACTATAAATTGACGCATCCTACAACACCAAAAAAAATTCGTATCAATACTAAACCAAATCAAGCGAATTTTGTGTCAGTTTTAGTCATCAATGGCTGAGTAATTCTTAGCTTAATTTTTAAAATCCATGTTTAAATGTATATTTGTGATTATTGCTTACATTGTGTTTAATTGGAATACTAAACGATTATATGTTTATGTTTTTTTTTACATGCAGATCCAACACAACATACAACACAAATAAAATTTCGTATCAATACAATACCCCATCAAGCGAATTTTGTGTTAGTAATTTTGTGTTAGTTTTAGGTCATCAATGTCCTGGTAATTTTTAAAATCTTATGTTTAAATTTATATTTGTAATTATTAGTTACATTGTATTTATTTAGGATACTTAACGATTATTTATTTATGTAATGGCATACGATTAGATGTTGTATACTTAATATATGGATGGATGGCTTTGGTTATTTTTGGAGATGATGAAAAAATTCCAATGCATAGATATGATTTTATATTTCAACACGGTTCAATTTATCCATTGATATAGTAGGTTGGTTGTGGACTTGTGGATGAGGTTGATGATTCTATCGAAATAAAAGATATGGTAAAACAATGAATAATGATTTAGGAGTTAAATTATTAAAAATTTATCATTTCACATTAAAGATTTCATATAACGGAAAAAATATCATATTTACAATTTACTTATATTTAATAAATTCATTATAAATTATAGTAAAAAAAATATTAAACTTTTGTAATTTTATCTGAAATTATTAAATACAATAAATCAAATATTTAAAATCTTTGTTGAAAAAACCGTGCATCGCACGGGCTTCCATCTAGATAAATTCATTAAATCAATACTACGAGTGTAAGAAATCCAAAAAAAATATAGGAAAAGATAAATCTCCAAAAAGATATTTAATTGGGTTCAAATTATAAAGATATCCTACTATTCAAAAATTATCTCCACGTAACTGTAATTGGTGGAAAAATATGGTGGGTTCAAATATTTTTTTTTTAATTTATGATATGGTGAAAATTATCTCCACGTAACTAAACTTGGTGGAGAAATATGGTGGATTCAAATATTAATTTTCTTAATTTATGATATGGTGGAGAAATATGGTGGATTCTAATCCTATGTTTAACTTTGTAAGTGTAATTATTACTTACATTTTGTTAATTTGGGATACTTAACAATTATATGTTTATGTTTTATTTATTAAATTTTGTTTTTACATGCACATCTAACGCATCATACGACACCAACAAAATTTGTATAAATACAAAACCCCATCAAGCGAATTTTTTGTTGGTAATTTTGTGTTAGTTTTAGGTCATTAATGTCCGGGTAATTTTTAAAATCTTATGTTTAAATTTATATTTGTAATTAGTACTTACATTGTATTTATTTTGGATACTTAACGATTATCTGTTTATGTTTTGTTTACTGAATTTTGTTTTTACATGCATATCTAATTTAATTAGAGAATTAAATTCGAGCAAAAATGATTGGAAAATCAAAGTACAAGTTTCTCGCTTATTTGACATGCTAAATTTCTATAAACAACATAGCTTAAAAGTTTGGATATGGTCCTAATGGAAGAGGAGGTATTTTATTTTTTATTTTTTTTATAAATTGTTTAATTTACATTTATTATATTTTTTTATAAAACCTCTTTAGTTTTTTATTAATTAATTTTATTTAAAAAAATAAAATTTGTAATTTAAGTGGCTTAATCAAGTTATTAAAATAACTTAATTTCTTATTTTTAATTATAGGGTGATTACGTTCATGCCTCAATTAACAACAGCTTTGTTCAATACTTTCATCCAAAATTAATTGAAGAAAAAGTTTACTTCTTTAAATACATTTCAATCGTTCCAATCCAATGCCTTGATTTTTGTCATTATATTGATTTAATAAAAGTTCCATGCATGAATAAACACAGGGATGGACTGCATTTTAATTGCAATTAGTGGTCTTGATCTCATTGATGCAATTCATATCATACTACTTTTGATTAAAGATGTAATGGATGTATATTCTCCACGACATTGTTGACAAAATATAACAATGTGGAAGCTAGCTAATTGTTGACTAGCTTAGCTTAGTTACTAAGAAATTTTATGTTGAGCATTGCCAAGCATATGTGGTTGAAATTAATTTGTAAAGTAATCGATTTGATGCAACTATTCAAGTTAATTTTTTGGCTTTTATACATATATTTAATGCAACTATTTCAAATTAATTTTAAAACTTGTAAGAAGAAGCTAAGACAAATGGCACATGATTTGATGTTGTATACTTATTATATGGATGTCTTTTGTTATTATTGGAGATGATGAAAAAATTCCAATGCATAAAGATTTAATTTATATCAATTTTATTTTTGTTAACATAAACAATGAATAATGATTTAGGATTTAAATTATTTAAAAAATTATCTTTTCACATTAAAGATTTTAGGTAACAGATGAAATATCAGTATTATTACCGATAGGTCTAAGTCCTTCTCTAACTAGAAGAGCAGCAAATCGTCTGCTCACTGAAGAAATTACAGTAAAATAAAATTTAAATTAAACTTTTGTAATTTTGTCTGAAATTATTAAATACAATAAATTAAATAATTAAAAATTAGATGAAAAAACCGTGCATCGCACGGGCTTTCATCTAGTAAATAAATAAAAGAAAACTTATTCAAAGTTGGAAAAAAAATCAAAAAAAGGCATACAATTTTAGAAGGATCAAAACCTTAACGAGCATATTGTGACCTAATCGACTTGACTCGAAATTTTAATGAGCACGAATCGAATAATGTATTAATGAGCTTAGCGATGGCGAGCACGAGTTGAGCACATGGAAAAGTTTTCGAGTCGAGTTGAGCACTCAGAGACTTGTCGATTAACACCCTAAGTACAGTTGCACTTCTGTGTACCATACGGTCCGAACCCCCTGGTCCCTAAATCCACCACCGGAAATAGAGGTACTGTAGCTAAAAACAAATACGGAGAATCGAGAAGATAAACCTTTGGCAAGCTCAGCCAATTTACCTTTCCCTCGTTAAAAAGCTCAGCTAATTACCTCCAAATTTAGAACAAATACAACTATGCCTGATATTTGAGAAATTCAGTCCATAATTCAGATTGTGAGAAATTCTCTCTCAAAACTCAATGACAACAACTATTCTTCCCGCCATTTTCTCTCTCCTCTCTTCTTCCTCATCCTACCACCCAACTAAATCCACACTCCATTACCCACCCAATTTACGCCCCTCTTTCTCTCCTCCCAATTTCACCCCCAAATCAAACCCTAGGTCTGCCATTTTCAAATTAATTCATCAATACTAGCTTTGATTTTCATTCAATTATTAATTTGAGTGTTTGATTTTTAACTTCTTATTTTGTTGCAGGTTAAGAATTTCCCATGAAACTACAATTTCATTCAAGAAGCAACGCAACTGGGTACCTTGTTGTTGCAGTGGTAATGCCGATATTAACCCAGATATAATTCATGATTCTTCTTCTAAGGTATCTACATCATTTTGTTGCTCTTAATGTTTTTCAATTTTATCTTATGTAACATCAATAGTCTTAGTTTCTAGCGCGGTGGTGCAACTGGGAGTCTGGGACTAGTCGAATCGTTGCGAATGAAAATGAACGCTATGGTGTTTAGTATCATGAAACAAATAGTTCTCATTCGCAACGATTTATTTCCCCATTTATTCATGGTTTGCACTAAAGAAATAGTTTGGAGTTAGTTGACACATTTGAATTTGATGGTGGAAACTGGAAAGTAGCATTGTGCACCCCGGTGTACCATCATATAATAGCTATGGAAGATATTAATGAGAATTGAGAACTACCTAAAATGAGACTTGTCAACTTGTTGGCACTTAATACATCTGGATGAGCTAAACCAAACAACTAGTTCGATTGTTTAGTAATGCACAATTGTTCTTTATAGCTAAATGTACCAAAATATTAGCTACAACAATCCTATTCAATTACTATTGTAGTATTGTGCTTGGTACAACGATCTTTTATACTTCTCACTTGATGCACTAGTTAGGTACTACCTTTCCCATTTGAAGCACAAGTCCAACTGTTCAAGTGATAAAACAAATTAAGGACAATTCTAATTTCTAAGCCTTTACAAAATCTCTTTGCATAACATAATAAATGTTAGTTATAGCATCTACTGTATGAAACGGAAGCCTTTCCTAGATATTATGTTTTCGTAATTTGACTACCATCCATATGGTGTCATTCTCCTTTGTCAGAGAGGAGCAGAACATATCTTATGCAAAACTATTTCTGTTGAAATATATTGGAAACATTAATTTAAGGCTTTAGCAACTCCCGGGGATTAAGGATAAGATATCCGGGTGTGATAATGGCACTTCATCTCTGGAGAAGTTTTGAACTTTCTTGTTAGGAATCCAAGTGATAAGTTAGTTTTACTGTAGCATGATGCAATAAAAATGTGCACAGTTTTACATGGAAAATTGTGATACCAAAAGCTCAAATCTGTCAGTATTTAATGGCCTTAAGATGGTCGTTTCACAACTGTAGCTATCCGTTTTGGGCCATAAGATGGAATTGTTCAAGAAGGAAAAATAGAACATTAAATTCGATTGCAACGTAAATGCAGAAAGTTTTACCATCATGACCTCTTGTTTCTTATTGAATGAGTATGACAATGGTGTTTCATCACAACCATTACTGGATATATTTATGCTTCATATTATTAAGGTCATCATATTGCTGTACCTCTGTAGGAATCAAATATTAACATACAGCTTCCTAGAAGAAGCTTGCTCGTGCAATTTACTTGTGATGCTTGTGGTGAAAGAACAAAACGGCTGATTAATAGATTAGCCTATGAACGAGGAACTGTTTTCGTTCAGGTACTATTGAACTAATGTCTTCTGAGAATTCTGTATATTTTGTTGAGGATGTGTGTGTGAACATAATATGTTTAAAAATATTTCATATTTTATTGACATTGTGGAAATTTTATTGACATTGTGGATATGCAGCAGTTGTGCCTTTATTTTTTGAGTTTGTGTGTAGCACTTTAGTGACCCGTACTCTAGTAACAATTGTAATGGGAATTGGGAAGCTTCCATTTTTTTTTTATTATTTTTTTAATCAGCTTCTACATTGTTGAATATGCTGAAAGCAAAAGTAAGAATTATCTTTTATGATGTGGTATTGTTCAATCTGATTGCTTGACAGATGGGATTTGAAGGTATAGTCCTCAGTAGAAAGCTACATGTCATTCTTTGTTTTTCTTGCGTGTGGTATGTGATGAATTGTTCACATTGCACTCAAATTGATTAAATTGTATAAGCTGGCTGTGTATTATCATCCTTGATGCCCTTTCTTTATTGATGAGCAGCTAAATGCCAAGATTGGGGTTTAGCAGAAAGTTTGATTTAATAGTTTGGTAAACAATTATACTCCATTTCTCAAGTAGCATTTTGTTGGCTAATTAAAATAATATACTCCGTAGATATATTATCATCTGGTTATGATATGGACTTTGATCCACCTAGTAGGTTGCATGATTTCACATGTTTCATAAAGTTTCTTAATATAAGTTGTGAATGTCCAACTTCCTTTATATTTTCTCTGCAAAATGTCATCAAATGTAATCATTTAGTCCTATTTTCATCAGTGCGCAGGGTGTCTCCAACATCACAAATTAATTGACAACCTGGGTCTTGTGGTTGAATATGACTTTCGGAATGATACTGATGAAGATTAGTATGAATTTTTTGAATACTTATGCCCCTGTTTGATTACTTGGACGTTTTTGTACTTCTCAAACTACTATCAATAGGAAAATAATCTGTTTTTGGTGAGTGTGTCTCTTTTAATCGTACAAAAACAATCTTAGTTTTTGTATTAGTAATTAAATTTTGAAACATAGTTCAACGTTTACAGATTTGTTCATATTCTTGAGATTATGCATAATTAGGAGGTAACTTCAACTCCCTATGATCTTTGATCTGTCTTTTTATTTATACTGACAAGATATTCACGTCCATTGACCATTGAGAAGATTTTCATATGGAAAGATCAGAAGATAAGTGATGTATGGCTAGACCACAAACTCGATGGACATGCTTTTGGCTTGGATTGTTTTTTTACTAGAGGGCCAACCTCACGAACTCTGATTGGATCAAACATTTCCTTTGATCAGAATTGAATATTTTTGTATGTATTTGAAATAATTATGTGCAAGTACTCAATTACATCGTTAACTGAAAATTCCTTGAACTCTCATCTCATAACAAAAAAACAAAAAGCCAAAAAAATGAATAAAAAAAAAGAATTAATTGCTTATGTAAATCAAGGTTGAGATTACAAAATAACAAGCAATGCAGCTGCTATGAGTCCTGTCATCCACTTGCTCCTTGTGTATCCTTGCTGATAGATAGATATACCTGCATTCTGTTTCCATGACATCATTTAGTTAGAATAAGTTGATATACATTGTCTGCAAGGAAAATAAAAGTGAGAAAGAAAAGGTTTTTCTAAATTGAGATTCTACCAAATCTGGAGAAGGAGCCGGTGACATATCCTCTGAGGTATCTGTGACTGCCGTAGGAGGTGCTGGTGGGCTTGGTGGTATTGGGGCTGGAGCTGGTGCATGGTGATGCTTGTGCTTCCTCTTCTTTTTCCCCTCAGAGGGTGCTGGTGCTGGTGCTGTTGAGGGACTATTAACTGGTGCTAGGCTTGGTGATATAGCCACTGGTGCTGGTGCAGGAGCCGGCTTTGTGGGTGCTGGTGCAGGAGCCGGCTTTGTGGGTGCTGGTGCAGGAGCCGGCTTTGTGGGTGCTGGTGCAGGAGCTGGCTTTGTGGGTGTTGGTGCAGGTGGCACAGTTGCTGGAGCAGGAGATGTTGCTGGTGGAGGTGACACAGGGGCTGGTGGTTGAGCTGGTGGTTGTACTGGTGGCGGCGGCTGGGTTACTGGTGCAGGTGGTAGTGATGGTGTTTGTACTGATGGACTAATTGGAGGAGCTGTGGGAGGTGGTGAGCTTTGAGGTGGTGGGGCAGTTGGGCTTGACACTGGTGAAGTGGACGCTGCTAATGGAGTTGCTGTGGTTGGCGGGTTTGAAGTAGGTAATGGTGGTGCTGGTGATGCAATTGTTGGTGATGTTGCTGGTGCTTGGGCTTTTGCTAGTGCTACGGCAAGAAACATTCCATATAACATGCAAACACACCTTAGATTAGCCATTTTTTTGCTCAGGTAAAATGCCAAAAGAATGAAGGTGAAATTTATATACTAAGGAATGATGAACTTGTAAGAAAATGGAAAGGAGGTTGGTGAAGAAGGGGAGAGGTACACTTCAAATGGTTACATCTCATCTACTGATTTATGGAAGTTGTGATTTTTAAGTTTACGAAAATAGTATAAACTTGCTTTCCATTTTCAACTTGTGGTAATTAAAGATCAATATTTAATGAGATGATGTTACTTAAATTTTTGTTGATTTATGTGCAACTAATTACTCCCTTCATGCCTTTAAAAAAAAAAAAAAAATAAAATAAAATAAAATAAAATTCTCCCTTCGTATTTTATTTTAGTTGCTCCACTTTTCTTTTGTAGTCGTATTTTATTTTAATTAATTCATTTTCTTTTTCGGAAACTTTTAATAATATTTAATTATTTTCCTCTCCACTAGTGGTCCCCTATTATCATTTTTTTAAAAGTTTTTCATGTTCTCCTTCCTCTCCGCTAATAAAATTTTTTGTTTTTTGTAGAGTTTTTATTATTCTTTAACCAATTCCACTGTCAATATAAAATAATATTTTCTCCGTTTTTTAATACTTGTAACAGTTTGACTTATATTCTATTCATTTGTTTCACTTTGACTAGCATTGATGATTTATATCTAAGAAAAAAAATATAGTCATGGAATCGTGTTAGATTCTTCTCGATTTATATACATTAATATCAAATGTTTATAATTTTTACATATTGGTAATTAAAGAAATTAGCAATTAAAATGATGCATTGGCAGGTATGAAAAAAAAAAAAAAAAAAAAAAAAAAAATCACAGGAAGTACTTCATATTTTCTAATATTGCTTCCAAAACTTTATGTCCGGAGTAGTGGAGCAACTAAAATATATGAAGGGAATAAAAAGTTAACTAATTGTTGGGTCCAGGTGATGCTTCGAACTATTACTTGTAAATAACAATAGTTGTTCATTATTCAATTCTACATCAATTAATTTATAACATGTCATTTATCTATTTTTGTTGCAATAAAAGAAACATACAAGTAATGTGACATAGTTCAATGATTAACCTTCTAATGTTTAATCCTACCTCCGTTAACTATTACCAAAGTAGCGATTAGTGAGTGTAGATTATCTCTAATTGCTACTATATTTGAGTGTTTGGTGGCTTGGTGCAACGTTAAATAGATAATGTACATTAAAATGTTGAATTCATTAATTATTGGTAAGTTAATTATGTTGCTGTCATCTTAAGGTTAATTCGTTACCTATTGCTTACTTTTGCTGTTGACGTCGTAACAAACATCACCAATTGCGGATCTACAAGAGATATAGCAACACTTGTTTATTTCATGGGAGGAATTATGGATGGGGTGTTGTGATAATTGTCGCACATTTACAATACATGTTTTACTAGCAACGGAGCAGAAAAGTAGAAAGCGTAGTGAAGATTGAAAAATGCGATTTAAATATAGTTTACGCAATACAACAATAATAATAATTTTTTTTTTTTTTTTTTTTTTTTACAAAAGCAGAATACATACAAAACAAAATTAAACTGAAACAGCAAAATTAACTAGATTAATACGACAATCATTAGCAATCAGGTGTGCTTGCTGAACCTTGTCCCGATCTACCTGGAGGACATTACAGAGTTGAAAATGAGATCCAAGTTGACGAATCTCTTGTAATGTCCAATGCAGGGTCACATTGGTATTGGTTGGCCGCTGAAGAAGAGCAACTAGGACCTCAGAATCCGTGTAAACCAAAACATTCATACAGCTATGACTAAGAGCCCACTTTAGTGCCGAAACACAAGTTATCGCTTCTACCATAAGTGCTGAGTCAGTAATCCCAAAACTCCCTCCGACCTTCATCTCGTCAGTGTTTGTGAAGGTAGCTGTCCATCCAATGTCATACTGGCCCGTATCCTTATGCCAAGACCCATCAATGGCAATGGTACAATCTAAGTGGCCCATAGAATTCCCCACAGTAGTCTTCTCATAGCCAAGCCTAGCCTGTAGGCTTGGCTTAAGGACTCCTAAAGAGCGGAGGTCAGGCTTAAGGTAGTCCTGGAGGCTCTTCCATGCCTCCTCCAGATTTAACTTGTAAGCTTGCGTAGACCTAGGTGTTCCCTGAAAGACCTGTTGGTTCTAGTTACCCATAGAGCCCACAGAGTAGCAACAAAGTGTTTAATACCCGTACTATGGACACCTTCCTGACTATAAAAAAGCAGTATAAGCTTCTGCACCTATTCCTGAACAGAAACAAATGCAGAGTAATTGTAGACAAAAGTTGCACTAGTTGTTTCCCATGCATACTTAGCCAAAAAACAGAACAGAAACAAATGCATAGCATCTTCCTGTTCACCACTATCACAAAGTTGACACATAGTATCTAAATCCATACCTCGGGCCTCAAGGTTAGCCATCACGTATACCATTGTGGCCCAAATTCCACAAGAAAATACGCCACTTAGGGGGGATTTGAAAGCGCCAAATAAGTTTGAAAAATTCAAAGCTTTCCTTCCGATAGGGTGGTTCTGAAAAGTCAGTAAGGAAAGTATATCTTGTTTTTACCGTATAAATACTTGTAGTAGTAGCAGGCCAATACAAGAAATCTGCCTCCTCTTTAGGCGGTAGCTCCAACTTCAAGATTTCCTGGGCACTTTCCCACTCAAAACGCTGACGAACAATTGCAGCATCCCAAGTCCTAGTATGCTGATTAATGAGGTCACTGACTTTCCAAGACATACTTGCCGCTAAGTTCTGGTTCGAACGCACAACTGGAATCTTCGAATTGACCCATTTAGTACAACAAGCAAGCAAGTTGCGTTCTAATCCTACCTTCCAAGCAAAGCCTGCCTAACTTTAAGCATAACATTAACCAAACTTCGTCTAGCCCAAGAGATCGTACCCGAGAAGCCACTAATAGCATTGTCAGGGCATAAAAAACATGGTTGCCGATCATTGAAGACTCGAGCTACCAGCAATTGAGGATGAACATGCATCCTCTGAACCTGCTTGAAAAGTAAGGCATCATTCATTACAGAAGCTGACCGGATGCCTATCCCCCTCATTCCTTTTGGTCGCTTGATATTTTCTCTTTTCACCCAATGTGTACTACGAACTCCTTATTTGGCCCACCAAAACCGCGTGATCAAAGAGTCAATCTTATTAGTGACTGCCAAAGGTAACTTAAAAGACTTCATAACATGGGAGGATATCCCAAGAAGGACCATATTGATCAAATAGATGAGTTTAGATACCTCCGAAAGTCTGCAAGTAGACCAAGACAAGATTTTCTCCTTCACCTTCTCAACTAAATAGCCAAAGTGGTCCGACTTCTTCCCTGTAATATCAAAAGGAACCCCTAAATGATTCCCCATGTGAGACACTAGCGTAACCTTAAGGATGGCCTTAAACAGAGCTACATCAGATGAAGAGACCGAGGGACTAAACTTAACAAATGACTTGTTGAAATTAATCTATTGACCCGATGCTCTACCAAATCTATGGAGGAAATCTGCAATTGCCAGGCATGACTCCGAACTAGCCTTAAAGAAAAATAAAGCATCATCTGCAAAGAAGAGATGAGAGATAGAAGGCGACCTTCTTGAAATTTCACTCCAAGAAAAAGCTTTATGTCCTCAGCCAGAGTCATCATTCGAAAAAGGACATCCATAAAAAAAATAAGAATAGATACATACGGAGAGAGAGGGTCTCCTTGTCGGAGACCACACTGTGGACGAAAAGCCTCTGACGACTGGCCATTAACTATAGTGCAGAAAGAAAGGAAATGCACTATGCGATCCAGTGTAGCCACCAATCTAGAAACCCATAGGCCCGCAAAGCTTTTGGTCAGAAAAAGTCAATCAACCCTATCATAAGTTTGTTGAGTTATTTAGCGTGTTGTAGTGGAGAGCTCGCTCCACTAGTTTGCGCGCCCGTGAAAGGCAAGCGCGACCCGCTCCAAAAGCGCGAAAAAATCGCGTTGAGTTTCTGGAAAATCTGTCAAGTATTGGAGGCGCGCCCGCCTCTCCGGATGATGCATCCGCGCCATGATGTGGCGCGACCCGCGCCTAAACCGCGACAAAATCACGTCAGGTTTCTTGAAAATTGGATTTTTGGAAGAACGAGGAGGAGCGCCCGCGCACAGGGGGTGGCGCGCCCGCACCTCCTCGCTCGTCTTCGGTTTTTGCAGTTATTCCCTTTATATTGTATTTGGGGCCTTTGTTTTCGATATACAAAAAACTTCTTCCTCTCTGAATATTTTCCTTCTCTACACTTTTACTGAAGAACTTTGCAAACTCTTCTTTAATCCTCCATCATTAAAGTTTATTGATTGAGAATTTAATCATCTTATCACACATCTTTGTGCTTAGAGTGTGGTGTTGTCTATTGTATCTCAAAGTGAGTTTGCGGTTTCAACCCAAGCACCGAAGTGGGGGAAATTATCACTTTAGGAAAGTGTATACACGCCTTAGACAAGTATCCAGTATAGAAGACTCACGTGGTCATTGGTTTTCTCATATTCTTGGTGGTTTTCGGCTTGGAGTGAGGCAAGTAAAGAATCTTTCATATTAGTATTATTTTGTTGTAATTTCTGTTTTACATTGTTAATTCAGTGCTTGGTTTGTAATACTACGTTAAGTATTTGGTGTTGTATATTTCATTGGAATTTATACACATTCTAGGGTTTGTCCACCATAGTTAAGTGATTCTTGTTGTGTAGAATTGCATTGTAAACCCTAACAATCTAAAGTGATAATTTGAACAACATGTCTAGTGTGAAAGAACTTACCACAAACTTTGTCAAACTCAAGAAGTTTGACGGTGTTGAATTTTGACGCTGGAAGAAGAAGATGTATTTTCTTCTTACATCGTTGAAGGTTGCCTATGTTATTAGCACTCCTAGACCGGTAGAACATGAGAATGAAACAATGGAGGATGTGCGTGAGAAATCTAAGTGGGATAATGATGACTTTATATGTCGGGGACATATTCTCAATGGGATGGAGGATGATTTGTTTGATGTGTATCAACATGTTGAGTCGGCTAAAGAGCTATGGGAATCGTTAGAAAGCAAGTATATGGCGGAGGATGCTTCTAGCAAGAAGTTTCTTGTAAGTAACTTTAATGATTTCAAATTTGTTGATGATAGATCAATTATGGACCAGTTTCATGAGATACAACGTATTTATAGTAACTTGAAACAACATGGAATCAATGTTGATGAATTGTTTGTTGTTTCGAGTATTATTGATAAGCTGCCCAATAGTTGGAAGGATGTTAAACATGATTTAAAACACAAAAAAGAGGACATATCTTTGTCC